TATTCATTGAAACCTCAGTCTCGATACATAACATAAACCAAAAATAAGAAAGGGCGCTTGAACTTGGCGTCATTCTTTTTACCTTTTTTAAAAAGGTAATTTTGTTCTGATATCACACATTTTTTTACTAATATTAAATATGCTATTGAACACATATGTGGAATGTTTTTCATCATTCATACTTATCACATAATGGAAAGAATATATTGTTAATGTATTATATTAAATAATTACTTTTTAGTAATTCTTTGTAAGAAAAGTATATAAGCATCTTTAGCACCTCTAGGCCATGGCTTTTTAATTTGCTCATCACTAACTTCAATATTTAATCAATAGTTTTGATATCGATTAAATAATTAATTAAATGCAAACTTTCTTGATGTTATTCGTGACAAAGCAACATAAACTTGTCCTGTATTAAATACAGAATTACCAATATCCATAATAGCATTTTGTAAACTTAATTCTTGGCTTTTATGAATAGTGGTTCCATAACTTAATGATAATGGAAATTGTTTTCTTATAACATAAGCTTTATAACATAAGCTTTATCCATCACTTGAATTTTCACGCTAGTTCTGTCAATCAAATATTCTAAACCTGATGATAATAGAAGTTTAATTTTTTCTATATATTCAGTATCTCGAACAATTGAAACCACTTTACCATTTATTAGACCCAAACTAGCATTAATTACGCCGTATCATTATTTTTGCTCCAATCTTAATAATAATTTATTTTGAAAGTTCAGCTGTTCTAGAATCATCGTTTCATCGTTTTTGGACAATATTTTTAATACTTTTTTTTATGTATGGTATACAATCTATCGTATCTTCAGCGATTAATAATATTTTTTTTAATTAATGCAATTTAACATTGCAGTATTCAAAATATCACACATATGACAAGTTGGAAGTAAACAAACAGTGTCGAGTGGCAAATTACTAATAAAATCACATAATTCATCCAATCTAAATTCAAAGGAAGTATTTGTAAAAGATATTTTTTTACTTTCAAGCATCTCGTGATCAGATTTTGTTAATAAGTCAATACGAACTCTCATAACAATTCACGATAAGCTACATCTCCTTGTTGTCGCATATTAATTGTCAGTTCATCATATTCAAATAATGTAGTCCACAAATTAATTGTTCCTAAAGCACCAATATATTTATCGATTTTTTCCTTCGGTAGATGAACAAAAACAAAATATTCTTGTACAAGAGGTAATTGAAGAAGATTTCCAAAGAAAAGAATATGTTTTCGACCGAACCAGGCATCGTCAATCAATAGTGCCATATATTTCAGATAACTTAAGATATATGTACATTGTAAGTCAATGTATGTAAAGTCAATACATGATCAGATAATTGTTTATATTTAGGAATATAATACATATTCAACAGGTAATTGGAATAATCTATGAATCGTCAAATCGTCTATATTAAATGCTGCAATACCAGTAGGTGCTACTACAGCAGTATTTTTATTAAGATTTTGTTTTATCCAACATTTAATAGTTTTAATTAAAAAACTTTTTCTGTACCTGATCTTCGCCGCTTACGGCGTATAACCGTAATATTGATTTATCCGTAATCTGATTCAATGGTGTCAATGACTCTATCAAATACTCTTTTTTGATCTATATATATATATATATTCAATTTTATTATCATTTTAGATACATCTATTTCTTTAATTTTAACTTCAAGACCTTTAAAATCTTGCATTGCCTTACCAGCTTCTATGTTTTGCACATCTATTGCATTTTTTGGGTCTTCCTGAGATATATGCTGTTTTCACGATTCATCATCTAGATTTTCTTGAACTAATTGTTTAGCAATTTCAAATGTCGTTTTCAATTCTTTTAATTTTTCGTGATATTGTAATGCTTTCACAAGATATAATTTACTTTTGTGAAATGATTCTTTATAAGTATCACATCTATTTTTAAGATTATCCAATTTTCGTCATGATTGAAACATAATTAATAATGAAAAGAAATAATTTCTGGCTGCGTATCAACATTATAATGATTAATCAAATATTGACGTCATTTAAGATAATAATTTTTTCCTATTTTATAGTATTCAATATCTTCCTTTCGTGGTTTAATTTTTGTGATATCATACCATTATATAAATTCATAAAGAAATGTATATTCTAATTCTTCCGGTCTATTTAGATAATGATCATCTATTATTATTATTATTATATTATTATATTATTATAATTTTATTATTATATTATATTATTTATTTATTTTTTATTTAAATTTATATAATTAGAAAATCTCGCGTAATAATGACAGCAAAAACATAATTTAATCCCTGATACAAAAGGTAAAATAAATAAAATTATCTTTTTTATGGATATCTCGCTGGCGTTCTACGCAACTTCGCTCTGTGTAAACTTGGCCTCGAGAATAAGAATGCTGCCTTTTAGTGTCGAAATTAGAAAAGTTTGGGTTAGTGAGAGAGGAAAGGACAGATAATAAGAGAGAAAAGGAGAGATGTCTGACGATGACGTGGACGTTTTTTAAAACTTGAATTTATTTATTTTGACTTTGCGTTGCAATATCTCTATTCATAAGGCACACGGAGAAAAACTAAAGACACTTTGATTATATAATTTCGATGCTTCGATCGATCGATTAAGCCTAGTTAGAACTCATTCGGTTTAGCCATTGCTGAGATATCCACACATAATTAGATCTTTATATATGTTGAGAAAATGTAAGCCTCGGAGTCTCGCGTAATGATAGCCACGGATAGTGTCTCTTGATACGTTTAATGCAAGACGTAATCATTTAACAGAGAAATTAACGAAGTTCTGCTCGATTTTTGCCAATCTGCTGGCACAGCATGTCAGCAGGCTTTATCTACAAATCCTGAGCCTAATGTGGACACAGATGGCTATGGATTTGCAATCAATATCTGATCGAATTTACCAATCTGCCAGCAAATTGCTAGCATTTTGCTTGCTGGGAATTTAAGGTTTAAGCACTGTTTTAATTACTGAATTACTTTTTAGTGAAAGTAAGAAATTTTGAATTATTTATGTTTACTAAAAAAACGATACTGTTCTAAATGTTTTTCATTTAGATTATTCCGAAATATCATATTGTTCTATATGACGATTGAGAAAAAAAGTTTATTCCCCGATTCTATCTAGATTAATCTTTCTAGTTCTAAGAATTAGAAAAAGATGAAGGGCAAGTTAAACCGAGATTAAAGTAAATCTACGTTGGAATCGGGCTTTAAACAATGATAAAACTAGGCAAACACATGTTATTTTTATAATATAATAAAAATAAAAAACGCGACGAGACAAATGATGCAATAATTATTTCAAATTTCAGATAATACATTTGATGATAAAATGATGTTATGAAGAATAATATTTTTCAATAATTTTTTAATTATTAATTTTTAACACATAATACATGTTCTAAAATAAAAAAAGTAGATTCTAGATCGATCTCTCGTTAATTTATCGTTTAATTTCATAACGCAACTCACCGATTAATGCGGAACGAAAACTACTCCTCTTGACATTCTCGCACAGACTAATAATCTTACTAAACTATCCAATCTCATATACTGCTGATTGATATACTACCGGTTTAACATTAAAAAGGTAACATGATAAGGTAACAGGACTTTGACGATGATGTGACGATGATGGCATGACAGTATTTTATACTTGTGTTTTTTTGACAAATATTTATCAATCATATGTATTATTATTTTATAACTAACGCGAAAAACTAGATCTCCTATATAATTTTCTCTTTCTCTTTTCTACATTTTTATTAGCAATCTTCCAACATATAATTTCATTTGACTTTGCGAGGACTTTGCGAAATTCTTTTAAAATTTATTTTAACAATTTAAAAAAAGTCTATGGCCGGTATTTATAGTTAATAAGCTCATACAGCTATCTCATTGATTAAAATGTTTTATCTTAAGACGATCTTAAATATAAGAACTGATTATGAATACCGGCCTACATATAACATATCATTTCAGGATATAAGACGAATTTTATAATTCATCGATTGATTAATCGCATAATGCGCAAATGTCGCTTTTATAGAGCAAAGTTGCGTTTGCGCAATCGATTTATTAATCGATGAGTTAAAAGACTCGACTGTAGCGCAAAAGTGCGAAGTCTAGAATGAGGTCGCCACAGCTGTTTGCACGTAGACGCCCTCGTACTTACGGAGCACCAAGCTTCCGAACTATAACCTCTAATCCTAGATGCGTCCGCGGGCGAAGCCGTCGCATTGATCTTTCTTGTTTCAGCGACTATTGGACATCGCCGTTCGAGAGTAGCGTGAACATCGTCTGGCCGAGAATGTCGCACGCCGGGTCGTCGGTCAGCACGCTGTGTTAATCGCCAACGTACGACAACGCACGCGAAGAATGGCCTCCCCGAAGTGCGGAGTGCGATGAATCAGTTATTATGTTGCCCTCGACCGGCTACTTCAAGACGATAAATTGCCCGTTTTATGACGGCGGATCGTGCGACCGGCCCTACTGTCATTTCAAACACACCAGGCGAGGTAAGAGATCGCGACCTTCAAGCCATCCCCGAAACACGCGACATTGCCTGACGCGTGGTAGAATCACTTCCTTGATTGAAGGAATTTTAGAAAAACTACTTGCGCGTTCATCGTGTAAATATACCTCTCGCACGCTATCGAGTAGTCGTAATTGTGGGATTGATTGAGTCAGAATGACTTCCTTGACTTTGGATTCTTTGTTTGCTTCCTTTGTTTAAGAAAACCAAGAACATTGAGGGACTAAGAGAGTGATGCTTTAGAATGATTCATTCCATTATTGCAAGATTGAGAATCTAATATATTAATCTTGCAATAGTCGTTAATATTTTATATTTTTATAGTTATTTATTGTTTTAAATATTCTGTTTGAAAATTAAATATTTATAAATAGATAATTTGTTCCTAGATATGTCATAAGAAGTAATCGAAGTAATTCATCCAATACTTCATGCGAGATGTAAAATTAAAATTTTAATTTTTTAAATCATTTATATAAGCTAGTAGAAAATACATAATAATATTTTCTATAGAAGATGCAGGCAGTGCAGCAGGAGTGGCAGGAGTGGTGGAGGCCCAGACGACGGAGCAAGTACAAGAAGACAAGGCTACTGATGTCGTGACTTCAGCTCCCGATATGTTACAACACCTAGTAACAGAAGCTGTAAAAAAAGTACTCGCTAATCAAGAAGTTGCAGATACTGAGAAGGTTTCACAGAACATTGTCTCTCAAGTAGTGGAGGGGCTCAAGCCAACTCTATCCTCTGGTTCCGCTGCCTCTATTTGTAATGCTGTGTCTAATATAGGAAAGCATATCGCAATTCCTACACCGATTACAAAGCCAGTTGTATGTGTCTACAATCCAACACCGATAGCGGAACTAAAGAAGCGGCATATACCTGTAGTCTCGTATATGCCGACAAGAGAAAGTCGAGTGGCTGTGAAACGGAAATTCTCGCCGGAAAGGGTTAAACCATGGTTGAACGTCGTTCAAGAATCGAGCAGTTCCCAAGTTACACCCGAAATTATATATAAACCCACTGCTATAAATGCAACCGAACAGGATGCTGTGCAAGGTTACGTGCCGACGGTTAAATCTGATACATCTTCATCCAACTCGTACGACGATGGTAACTCAAATGATTATCAACCTAAATTTAAGGAGGTATATTATCCAAGATCAAAGAAGAGAAGAGAAGAATATGTTCCGAAAAAAGTTAAAGCGCCGTTGAAAACGGTTCAGCAATTAAATGACGCCGTTTTAAATCAATTTGATTCTGATTTTGATATGATAGATGAAATCATTGCTTCCAATCACGTCACTTCTAAAGTGCTAGGGCAGGTGAAAGCGTCAGCCAGTGAAGATTCTCAAGATTATTCTATGGATATCGAACCCAAGTTCTCCGATGACGAACCTGTAGAGGATGCATCTATGGATGAGCATAATGTAAGTGTAAAAAAATCTGAGCAAACGGAAGATATAAATGAGAAGGAAAAGGAGAATTTGCAACATGCAGGAATTGATAGTGCGGATAAACAAACGAGCAATAAAGATAATAAAATACATAGCAATCATTATGACGCTAAAACGGGTGATTTAAAAAGTAGTGATAAATCTAAGCATAATGTAAGTGACTCAAAAAGATTATTGGATAGCAAGGAAGATTCTGTAAAAGAGGATATTAATAAAGCAAAGGACAGACATAAAAGTCATAGTAAAAGCAAGGAAAGAGACAGAAAGGACCGCCACAATTCTGAGAGGAGAGACAAAGAAAAATCGCGGCACAAGTCAGATTCTAAAGATAAGCACCGTTCCTCCTCTAGTAGAGACAAAGATAGAAGAAGAAGCAGCCATGAGAGTAAAGACTCTTCACATGGGAATAAAGAGCACACGGACTCACGAAAACACAGACATACCTCTCCGAAGAAAGACAAGAATGATCATCACAAATCCAGTCGACGTGACAAACATAAATCGAATTCGAATTCATCTAACTCGAAATCGAGTAAATGCGTGTCAAGTAGAAGTGACAGAAAACGTCGCTCGGAATCAAATCGACGGTCCAGTGATTCTTCTAAAAAATCTAGCAAGCACAAGGAAAGCAGCAGTGAGAGGAATTCATCTGACAGATCCGTTAGTTCTGTAAACAGTACTCATTCTTTCATTGATGGGATTTTGGAACTATCAGACTCTGATCACGACGTGCAAGAGGAATGCTTAAGAATTTTTCAGGAATACCAAGCTTCTGACTATCCAAAATTAGTATCGGTCAAGAAGTCTTTGAAAGAAGAAAATGAGAACCTAGAAGAAGTTGGTAAGAAGAGAGTTGCGCATCCTTCGGCGGCCACGAGCGTTACGAGACAGTTAGGTCCTAGTCAGCCACCAAAAAAGCTTATAACTCCGCAACAGAAGATGTACGAACGGTGGCGTTTGATGAGAGAAGCGGCAGCTGAGAAAGCTGCAAAGAAGGCAGCTGAAAAGGCGGCAGCTGAGAAAGCGGTAATTGATATGAAGACTCAAGTTACAGCTACGTTAGCAGATCGGTCGTCGAATAACTTTAGACAACGTGTATCTGTGCATAAGGAGCATATGGAATCTATCTCGTCGATGAGTAATAACGACGTACAACCGAATACAAACGGTCGCATTCGAATCGCTCATGTTCCATACGCGAAATCTCTTGCGATGGAAAAAAAGAAAGTCGCGGTCACAACGGGAAGGAACGAGGATGCGAAGGGGGTAGATAATAAAACAGTAGCGCAAACTACGAAAGGTGTACGTGTCGCTCATATACCACAAGTGGTACCTCAACTTGTACGTCCGGAACCGTTGCAAGTTGCTACTCAGAAGTTTCCTTTGAATGTTCGTCAGTATTATATTAATTTAATGCACGATATATGCGTGCAAATTTATACAAGTGGCGACGATGCGGCGCAACGTGCCGTCAGAGAAGAGCTCGCATGTCACGAAAAATGCAAGGCACTCGCAGTGTACAAGAATTCATGCATGTTAGCGGCTCATAGACTAAGGAAGGAAGTAGATCAAAGCAAGTCGAATGAAAAGTCCGCTAGTTCGACCTGCGGTATGGTGTCCCACGAAGCGGTTCTTGCCGGCAAATCGAAAGGTTCTTGGAGCGTGATCAAGAATAAGAAGAATGTGATAGATTTTAAAGGACCAGCGCTCTACAATATGACTCAAAAAATGGATCATGTCAGAACAACAGCTTAGAGACAACGGATTTCCACGTAAACATCCAGATGATACAAAGGTAAAAAATTTAAAGCAAAATATATAAGAAAATTAGTGTAGATTTAGCAAGAAAATTGGTGTAGATTTTTCAGGTTATATTGGAAAAATGAAATAAGATAAACAATAATCTAATATAAAATCGATATTGACGCATTGAAACCTTCCATTTAATCAAAATACACATTTTCAATTAAATATATTTTCTGTTTTGCAGGGACGAGCTAAAGTATACGTAATAAATTCGCGAAACCAAAGTATTTTATCAAAAGTGCCTAATGAAAGAATATGCAGCCGATGTGGTCAAGCATATATGGTAGATAAACTGGGCTTTCCTACGCAGCAACAAAACTGTATATATCACTGGGGCAGAAAGTTCACTGTTAGAGGTGAGGGCAAATATAGTTGTTGCCAGCAATATGGCTCTGCTACAGGCTGTTGTGATGCAAAGACGCATGTGTGGGACTACACGGATTATGAAAATCTTCGTGGTTACGTTAGAACTTTATCGAAAGGTATTTTTAGATTCTTGCACTTTTTTTCATACATGTAAAATGTATTATGCCGATTTCTTTTTGTACAGATGTTCCTATCGATGAGCAAGGGGTTTACGCACTTGACTGTGAAATGTGTTATACTACACATGGTTTAGAGCTAACTAGAGTGACAATTATTGATGAAGATTGTAAAGTGATATACGAAACGTTAGTCAAGCCGCAGAATCCAATAATTGATTACAATACGAGGTAAATTGCAATAAGTTGATCAGTGTATTTGTATGTGTATATCATTTATATAAAATATAAGTCTATGAAATATTGATTTATATATATATATATATATATATATATATATATAAGTAATTGTCTATGTTACGATAGGTTTTCAGGAATTACAGAAGAAGACATGAAGGATGTGACAACGACCATTTTAGATGTACAAGCTACAATTCTCACAATGTTCTCGGACAAAACAATTTTAGTGGGTCATAGTCTTGAAAGCGATTTTAAAGCTTTGAGGCTACTACATGATACTGTTGTGGATACTAGCGTCATGTTTCCGCATAGGAATGGATATCCACAAAAAAGAGCGTTGAAAAATCTCTGTTCTGAGTATCTCAGAAAGATCATACAAAATGATAGTGAGTTTAATTTTTAATAGAAAAAGAAAAGATTAAATGAATAATACAAACTAATATTTAAATAATTTTAGTCGGTGGTCATGACAGTAAAGAAGATGCCGTCGCTTGTATGGAGTTAATTCGTTGGAAAGTGAAGGAAGAAGCGAAATTACAGTGAAATTATGCATACAAGAACAAACATTATCACGATTGTTGTATGCTATTACATTTTTCGCTTTTGCGACATTATCGACGAGGTGCTATTAAAGATGGCTATCTAATCTTTGGTAAATTTTTTTTTTATGGATATATTTACAAAGAATAATTAATGAATATTAGGTTTATTGATATTATTTATCTGCTATAAATATTCAAATGATTAATCTATAATGCAATATTTATTTTGATGATTTATTATTAAATTAGTCAAACTTCACTTTTTTTTTTGGTTGAAAACTATTTTCCACATTCGATAATCGAATATGAAAGTGCAGTATATTAAAAGTTGAATATTATTATTTTATATAAATATATTCATACATGCAAAATATTTGGATTACAAAATTATTATGAAATATATTATTATATGTTATATATTTTTATATTAATAATAATAATATATCATTTTAAGTTGGTTGTTCAAATTTTGGCGGGGATCCAATATTTTCACAAGTTTATCCTTAATAATACCTTGTCATTATAGCCAGGCCAGTAATGTTGCGCATACTTTACTGCCTATACACTGCGCATATTTTGTATACTGTATTATATCTTCTTATGTATAAATATGTAATATACATTTATTATTCTTAACTTAGGATTTTCTTTTAATTAAATTTGAGATCATATAGTTAATGAAATCATATCCACATCAATTTTCGTTATGTTTATTAGAACATAAGTATCATACGATAATAAAGAATTAATACGGAGCATTACACCAATTTCGACATACATCACAACATTTCGATTGATATTTTTGTACTCCCTGTTATATTATTACTTATTTATATGTTGTAGCATTAAAAAGACTTGTACTTATTTATTTATTGACCCAACCTTGTAGCATAGATATATATTTCACGGATCAATAATAAATTAACTGCTTATTAATTATATTGTATATTTATATATATCAAATAACGGATAAATATATTTATTTTTTATACTGTAATTGAGTTTACCGAAAGATACATTTATCCCCTAATTGAACTATAAATAATACTATAAGTAATTAATGGATATTTTAAAGTGTTATTTGAAATAAAATAATAATATACACTTTAATTACATATTCCATTTCAAATAATATTTAAATACTTGTATCTATATAGATTTATTTTTTTTAAGATAATTAGATAAGTTATAGAATAAGATAGGTTAAGCCAGAATTGAAATATACGTCTTTCGAAACTCTCGAAAAATCGTCAGGGTTATTAGGAAATCATATTAGGCGAAGAGGTTGCAGAAGGTGGCATAATTTAATCCAAATATATTATACTCTTAAGATAATAGTTTCACGTCGGTAACGACAAAACCGCAAACTACTTTATCGATTATCAGAAATTATCGATAATGCGTAAAATAGAAAATGCAAAATTTGTATAACTGCCACTTCCTATTACCTCTTTGCAAAAAATATTAACCTGATACCTTTGACGATTTTTCGAGGTTATTAAAAGACACGAACTCAAACTTTTGCCGACCTAATCTTTCATCTAATCGTCATGAAAAGAAATTAATTTATATATATGGATAAATTTATTTTTAAATTTCTAAATAAACTTTAAATAAAAAAAAATATATTATTTATATGTTAATAATTATATTATAATTCTTTTTTAAAAATTTCCATTAGCTCCAATATCAATAAAATTATGCTCATTGACGCGTTTTTGTATAAAACGAAAAAATCTAATAGAAAAAAGGTGTTGCAGTACCCCGCGAAGCGGAGGCATCAGATATTAATCAATATTGATTGTTGACTATTCAAGTTAGAAAATCTGTCATACCGACATAGCAATTCGTGCTCGCAATACTTGGAGTAAGATAAAATAAAAATTATGAGTTCTGCGAGGAAAGAATTTTATGAGCGATTAAACGAGGATATTTATTTCTTTACTTTTTCTCTATTTTTCGTGCTCTCTTTCTTTGATATTCCTGGATATAAGTACTAAATCATTTTGTATTCACAAAAAATATTAAAAAGAGCACAAGTAACAACAAACCATTTCTATTTGCATTTATTATTATTAAATAATCTTAAATATTTAATCACAGATTTAAAATATAATAAATGTATACATATTTATATATTTACATCATTTTCTGCAATAAAGAAAGCAAAGTTTGGCATCTCTCTTTCACCTACAATTAAAGATTTAATTGAATGAAATATATATATGTATAAAAAAAAATATATATATATACAATTATAGAGTTAAAAATAAAAATATTACTTGATGAATAGTACGATTCTCTAATTTTTTGCTAATCAATAGGAATGAATTTTCTGAGTATTCCTTTTTTATACTTTGCAGCAATATCATATCTTCTTGACGTGTCCATGGTTTATTGTTAATTAAATTAGATTTTGATTGCATATTAGTTTCCATTGTTCCTGCCTCTATATTTTTATTATCTAGAATAAAAGTGTAAATATATATATCTAAATTATTATTTTCACTATTATAAATTTTATTAGCAATATAATTCAAATCTAGCTTACTCAAATTACAACCAGTACTATTGCTTGTACTTGGAGAAATTTGTGTTTTTGTAATTAATTCAGTGTTCAACGAATCGTCTTGCATTGACAATTGTATATAATTGTTAGTTTTCTCCGTAAGTTCATTTATTTTTTCTTGTTTTGCAATATCAGACTCATTTCGTTCTGATAAAACATCACTTTCTTCAGTCTTTTTTTCTCGTTTACTTTTGTATTGAGTCATACGCATTCTTTTATCAGGAATTACATGATCTTCAGTACTTATTCTTTTAAAAATTTTTTTGGATCAGTTTTGAGTGTAAATTTGACATTTCTTTTAGATTTGGTTACTGCCTTTTCATTATCTTCATTATCTTTTAACGGTGAGCTTGTAGTGCATTGTTTCTCTTTTTGACTTGAAATATCTTCGTGATTAGATTCATTTTTTGATGATTTCCGTCGTTTCTTAGACGAAATTGATGGAATAGCTTTATCAGCAATCTTTAACGATATACGCGCAATATTTTCTAATTTCTCCCGATCTTCCCCAGGAAATGTAATTTTGGCAGGTCGTAATCCTTCAAGAGTTTGAAGATAAATTTTTCCATTCAGAAACTGTTTAAAAAGAAAAAAACATATATATATATATTAAAATATACAAAAAAATAAGAAAAATAAATATATAAACATATAAAAGTTATATAATTAAATATCATATGTTTACTCGTGTGCCACAGGAAACACAATGTTCAGAACTATTTTTCGAATTTGCATCATCCGTATTGTGACAATCGCATTTACAATTCTCTCCACCATATGGGTCTTCCTGACATGTTGTCGTTGATAATTCTATATTTTCATATAGTTCTGATGCATTTTCAGTGTAAGTCATATTTTTATCATAAGGTCCTAATGGACACGTCATGTTTTCAAACATATGAGGTGCAAATAAACTGATAAAAATATTAAATACATTTAGATACAAATACAAATAAAGTTAGTCTCGGGTATTAACATAAAGTTAAGATTTAGCTTATATAATATTTATAGCAATTACATTTCATATAAAATTATTATGAAATTACCTTTCAGGAGGTTTTGCAGTAGGGAGAATTTGCAAGAATAAATCCATAACGAGTGGATGACCTTTAAAGACAGAACTTATAACAGTATGAACATTTTCTAAAGTTGTATGTGGATCAGATGAAAGTTGTGTAATTGCTTGCATCATTTTTGCTATTCGTGATGGTTGTTTAGCAAAATATATTTGTGCAACATGAACGAAATCATTCATCTTTTGTAACATCATATATTCTATAGATTTACCAATCATTGCAGCTTGATGTGGTTTTAAAAATAACAGAAAATCTGTACATATTTCTGGATAATTTTGTAATTTTTTACAGATCTCTTGGTATAATTGAATAATTAATATGTCTTTTTTCATTGCAGTATCTTGTAATATCTGTTTATTTGTTAATTCTTCGGAAAATGATGGATTAACATCTATACGATTAATACTTTCTAACTTTTCACTGTAATCCAAATATAACTTTATCACAGCCTTAAATGTTTCTGGATTATTAGATTCCAATGTTAAGTGCAATTTCTGAAGATACGACGCTGCAAATTCTATAAAAATAAATATAAATTAAAGAAATAATATTTATTTAATTATTTTAACTGACTTACTTGCTTCACGTTCTTCTTCATTCAACGGGTTCTCAGCTTTTAATAATCTTTTGATAATTTCCAATTCTCTAGTTTGCTTAGCTTTTTTTCTACTTATAGGATCTTTTATTATCGTAGTACTGGCTAGCATTAATTCTGCTATTTCTTCTTCGTTATCCTGTAAAACGGATCATTTAGATATCTATTCGATATTTTCTTCAATGTAATAAATTAAAACTTACAACTTTTGATGAACTACAATGCTCATCAATATTTTTATCTATAATATCTTTTTCTTTAGATTTTAAAGTGCAATTAGACGAATTCTTTGAGCCTAAAGCTTGTGCCATCAATTTCATATTTTGAGCACTTCGTGTTTTTGCTAATCGTGGTGTGGTTTTTCGTATTTGTGGTGATCCTAATGATATTTGTTGTGATTCTTTTTCTTTGGATATTTTTAAATTTCTAGGTAATATAATATTTAATTTTGTATTATTTACATCTGATTTATCTGTTTGTGTTAGTTTTACATCTGAAGTATTTGCTTTTAAAGAGCAAATATTTGTATGCGTTTTATATACTGTTTTCTTTTTATGAATTTCTATATTTTGTGTATTATTATCGGATATTTTTTTATCGCTGCTATCGAGTTTAAAACTTTGTGTAGTAGAATTATCAATCTTAGCTGAAGCTTTTGGATTTAAAGTTGCAGGTAATATTTTTGGTAACATATTTACAATTGGATTTCGTAATAGATGATTTTTAGGAATACTAGGATATGATTTTATTATTGTATTCATGTTAGTGTCTTCTTTATTAAAATTATGATACGAATCAAATATATCTTTATTTTTTACCGAATTATTTCTATGTTTTTTTGCTGTAAATGAAATAAATAAGTTAAACATAATATTAAACATTAAATTTAATATTAAATACTAAATTAAGTCATGAAATATATATATATATATATATATATATATATATATATATATATATATAGGTTTATCCGACTAATATAAAAACAAAATTATAATTATTATACTTACAAAATACATTTGCCACCTTACAGGTAAAAGTTCTATGGGTTGATCTTTTGGAGCTTTAAGTTTATTTTCAAGTATTATGTAATGTATTATTTTAGGCGCGCAACCTTTTTCAAAATAATGCTACAATAAATTTTATTTAATAGAGTGGTTGCAATATAAATCTAAAACTTGTTCAATGTAAATATATGGTACCTTGATTGGATTTTCATCTTTAGAAGCGCGACGTTTGTTAATATGATGAAACATTCCTCGTGCGTCTCTACATGGTAGCAGGTAATCGCTAATAAGTTGAGTTGCATCAATCAACTGCATTTTTTTTGAATGAAATTTCCTTGGTATAGATGCAACGTATGGTAAGAATTGTTCTATACCTAATGCAATTAAACTGCAAATGGCATACTGAAATAAGGTAAAATAAAATAACTTTAATATTTAAATTTGAATATACTTACGTTTCTTCCGATTTTAAGTATGTAGATTTTGTATTTTGTTTAACACCATTTCTGAAAGGTATCGACGGTAGAAGCTGTGGGTACATAAGAGCTTTACTTTCAACAAATAATTTTTCTAATTCAGGAAAAAATTGTTCGGTATATCTCCATTTATTTTCAATATATATTTGAGTTTTAGCAATTTCATTCGTTATATTCTTTTTGAAATCTGCATGAAACTCTGAGTCATTAAATTTATTTTCCCAAGTTGATACTAATTTTAAAGCTTCTTCTAAGTTTTTTTGCATTAAATGTAGAATTTGGACCATTACTTAAATACCTAACAAATA